TGCCCAAGTTTTATACTTATACTATTCATCGTTTTGCATCATCACGTAACAGTTATGTTATCAAGTTTGCTCAACGGTAAAGATAACAAAACCAGGTGTAGATTATTGGATTTGATAAGTGTATAAAATTCTAAAAGCAGCATATGTTTACACAATGATTTTGCATATCATATTCGTGTTGATTTTGTCATTTCATGGGGTATGAGTGGGGCTAATGTAACCAGGTAAAATTCTGTTTTATCACATCATTCATATTCGGATAGTTTGGATTTCTGAAAATTTTCAAAATAATTTCAATAATGTCACAATCGATTTTTTGGCCTGATCCTATAAAACATATACTTTCATATTAGATATATTGATTTTTTTTATTCCTATACGTTCCCAGTGAAATATAGGACTTCAAGCTAGAAGCTTGAATTCTTTACGAGTCTTATTACCGGCTTAGCGAGGTAAAGGAGTGCGTTGGCCCCCTGCGTGATCGGCGAGCACTCTACCGCAGTGTCACCGACGCACATGACATGTTGATTTAATCTAATGCAATGTGAGTGACACAGTACCAATAACTGAATGTTGCTTCGAGTGAAATTCACTGTTCACCTTGTTTATATATCAGTTTGTTTACACGGCTTGATAACTTGATTATACAGCAAGTTATATACTCTCAGTTGTCCCTGTGTTTTCTATTGGAGTTTTCCTTACATTATCCAGGATAGACATTACGTCATATCTAATGCACGTGTTTCGGTGTCGATTCGAAAAACGAATATTTGATGATTAACCGCCGACCCCTTTATCTCTCTCTCTCTTTCCTTCTAACTATAATACTTTTCTTTATACATTACTCCTATCTCACACTACTGCGTGATTGTAGGTTTACGTGGATGAATTACGGTAGCCGAGGTTTTTCCTTGACTATTTAACTTCACCGTGTCAGTCATCCTAGACCTAGTTGAAATCGATATGCACGGATAACGCGACTGACTGAGATCTACATTACTGTCATAACTTGATATTTAGTAAATTATATTATTCGGCTTATCAGACATGGTTTATCCCCGAGCAAGCTAACTGATTTCTATGCCATCCTAACCCCAGACATATTGAGAATCCTTATAAGGTTCTCTGATATCCCCTTCTTATGTAGTCATATTCTGAAAGTTTAGATCATTCACATCACTACACCTGTTGTTCTCATTGATCGCAAACCATTTTGTTGAATGAAATCTGGTGAAGGCTGTCATTTGTTTGACTGCATTATTGAAATCTGCTGACTTATTGATCGGGTCTTGAGTTTGATCGCTTAAGCATTCAATAGAACCCACTTTGTTTATCAATTAAACTTATTATGCAACTGGATTTTATCAACGGTCCCTAAATTCTAATTTCACACTACTTTCATACCATATAATCAGGTTGGATAAACTATAACCTCCTACGAATTCTTTAAATGAATTGAAACTTCACATTTTACGGATATTATCTTAATCACAGAGTACACCACCCCGTCTCAATAAATCTATAGTTAAATAAAATCAGATTTTTGCATTTTCACCTCCAGAAAATCGAGAATTATTCTACTTTAAGCTTCTGGTATGGATGTTTCGGCTATGTCTGGCAATCAGGGTTAAGTTATTTTGTTCGATGGTGACAAATACTGGAATTCAGGATGTACATTACCGCCTATTTAGGTGTCATCAGTTGACTGGACTAGAATTCCCAGTAAGTGATGATTACACGCTTAGGCTCACTTGATACTTAAACAATGTATAGAGGGTTCGATTCTCAGTAGGAACACTATCATCACCCACGGGGATGCAGGCGTATTTAGCTGAAAAGTCCAAAATAGGATGAAGTTGGTGCCCTGAATTCTAATCCTAGTCATCATTAACCGAAATCAGGTGAAGAGTAGTTTTTCTAATTTGGCCTAAATGTAAATTTCTTGTAAAAGTACTCTTACTTGTCAAACATTTATCAAATTTAACTATATTTATTACTTTTTGCTACTACTATTTTAATGACAGAAGACAAGGGCCAGGCAACAGATCGTTTATTGAGAAAATCAAGAGATATTTATGGATTTTTATGTACATTATTATTCGTTATTATTAGCAGAGAAACAGCGTCTTCTGGTTGGTTGTTTTCCTTCTGAAGTTTATTCTATCATCTCTTGGTTGCCGTTTCTTAGACATTCTGGTGATATATCTGCGAATCATATGCACCACCCACGCTAAGTCTGTTGTGATTGGTTGTTGAGTTCTTCAAGGTTAGGCTTTGTCCTTGTTTTATTTATATTTATACAGGAGTAAGACAAGGCTGCCTATTATCACTTATGATATTCTTAAATGCGATAGACTCGACTATCAGGCAGGTAGTGCTTTGGTAACAAGACGACAGAAGTACGTCAGACCGACAAGAATACTCGAGAAGATCTGGACTTCACGGACGATTTATGTCTAATACCACACAAACGCGAAGACTTACGGGCTAAAACTAAAAAGTAGGGAGAAGAAACTGCAAAGACACAACTTTAGGTTGACAGTAAGAGAACTAAAGTGATGAAGATAATCAACCAACCACCCAACAACACTATGCATTGATTACTATCAAGGGTTGAAATTTGTAAGAGGTTAATTCCTTCACTCATCTAAGCAGCATAGCTTCAACTACAGGCAGTGGGCACGGATGAGTGTAAAAATCAGAAAAGGAAGAGCAGGACAGACCATCATCACTTTGAAATCAGTTTGTGAATTCTCCGTAACCAGCATAGAGAACTAGACTTCAGAATTTTATCAACAGCTGCTCACCCCATTGCTTTGTACTGACGACCAGAAGACCAGAAATGATTCGCAACGGGGAAATCTAGCAGTGAACTAATCAAGAACCTACTACTCAATAATAATCTTGAAGAAAAAATGGAGACGGATCGGACGCACACTCATGAGATCTTCAAATGACAACATGCGTTAGGCCGTCAGGTAGAATCCGGATGGAAAACAAAAAAAGTATGGCTGCCGAGAGTGACATGGAGGAGATTGTGTGAGTTGGAGATGAGAAACTATTTCCAATAGGGGGATCACAGAGAGTGGGATAAACTGCACGTGTGCTGCTGAAGCCCTACATCTCACTCAGAACCCAAGGGATAAATAGTATTAATAACAATAACATCAACGTATTTGCACTTAGTAAGCTGATACACGATTTTACTTCTCATTGGGTCTTCAGATACATCTAATGTCATCGCAAGGGTTGCAGAAAATTAGAATTTGGCTGAAATTTCAAGCAATCTTACTGACGTGAAAGAAACCTGGAACTGGAAGTTTATTGTATTTTTAAATAGAAAAAGAAGAAGAAGGTCAGGAAAAATTTCTCTGTTCCACGATTTTATCCTGAAAAGCTTTACAGTCTCGTTTATGCTTCCATAGACACAATCAAAACTTAATTCACTCTGATATGGAAGGAAGATTAAGGGAAATAATAATGAAAGGTGTGAATATTAATCGCCAGTTACATAGAAACAAAATTACACAGGATAAGAAAATAGTTCTGCAATACAGTTTTTTTAACGAATTCATGAATGAACAGAATTTGAACAGAAGAGAACAGAAATAGTAGTTCTTTTTCACAATTGAAAATGAAGAAAATGATTATTTATTATTATTATTACTATTGTTCCCGTGGGTTCCTAGTGGAAGATAGGGCTTCAACTGCAGGTCTCCACTTGCTTCTGTCTTCTGCTGTACTTTTTACATGCACCCATCCATGTTAGTCCATACTGTTTCAACTCCTCTTCACACGATCTCCTCAATGTCATCCTCGCAATGACGTCCCACTCACCGCTTCCCTTTCGGGTTCCACTCGAGCGATGGCCTGACGCGCGAGCGATGTCACCCAGTGGCCTCCTCAACGAGTGTCTAATCCATCTCCCTCCACTTTCTCCTGCATATTTGTTGGTTGGCGATCGGTTCTTGTTTTGTTTGTTCCCGGTCAAAGTTTCGTGTTGGTGATTCTTTCCTGCCATGAAGCGAGTGGAAAAGCAAATGAATAAAATCTAAGGCGTCAGGTGGAAGCAGATCTTCGGAAAATGTGGAGATTGAAATAGTTTCTTTTAGACACACAGTTCCGGTTTTTCGATGTACATGGTAAGGGCTTTTTAAAGACAAAAAGCTAGAAACATGCTGTTTAACTAGTTTCGAAATATCATTCATAACACATGATATGCGTAAAGTCTAAAATATACTGATATCTAAAATATACGTCTGTTCTATTCCACTCAAACTAAGAAGTAACAATCATTGGTGTCTTCTTGTGCAGACAGATGAATGACACAAAAATCATGTTTCAAAATGTTTGACATTAATCCAGAGAATAGAAACCAATTTCGCCTAAATTTCATTCGACTAAAAATCCTACATTAACTAGCGTAAATGTTCTTCACTCGTTGACAGTAAGACGCACCGCACTTAAACAATGATTCTGCTAACTGTATTTCAGAGTATATTAGAGTCTAAAAGGCTGAGTGGTGACGTCTACTGATCTGTCATCAACTGGCTGGCTATGCACACAGGACGACGATGACGCCAACAACGACCAGTTCTTCGTATGACATAGAGGTCGTCAAGTAGCAGCGGAAGTATGTGACAGAATGCCAGTCTCATTGTGTGGTAGTAAAATCAGTTAGGATGATTAGAGAAAACCACACATGGTGGAAATTATCATTCCATGCCAGCCATTTTTGACAGATAATGTCATAGAAACGTAATGTAAACATTGGACGTGAATACTTTCTATGTATTTAGTAAATATGCTTGAAAGTGGAATAAACCTTGTTTGTATCCTCCAGTAGTGATTGTCTTTTGCATTAGCTCTTAAGTAATGTAGATGAAATTCAAAACTGAATTGAAGAGTTAATCGCGTTCCAGTATTTTCAGTTTTGTAACAGGCGGTACTTGAGTGTGGAATGTAAACTTGTTTTTTGGGAAGATTCCAGATGACAGGTGATGACAATTCAAATCCTCCATGCAATTCAACATCTGTTATGCAATTTTGCAAAGGTTTGATCAGAAGATGAAATCAGTCACGAAATCACGGGAAAACTAGAGTGTGCTAGACAGTTGTTTTGTCTCACTAGTTTGTGACTATTCGGCAGTGCAAACCCAACAGTATTCCAACCATGGGCTTTCGTGTTATGCATCAAGCTTGTAGATCATTCAGATATTGAGGTTCAATCAAATGATCCATGGATTTCAAATTCTCCCAGAAGATCCTTTGTTCGAACTCGGATGTGTGAGTACTGCTGGAGAGTTCCAAACTAGAAGAAGACGACTGTTCAATACCCTTTGGTTTTCCGATGATTCTCCAAGTGGTGTCAACATATGATGAAACTTTGTGATGAGTGAAATCCCTATAAACCAACACCTGAAGATATAAGACTGCTGGTTGAGTTCCTACAAGGGCCTTCAAACACCGTTTGTCATTTAAGTATCAACCTGTCTGGGGTATTATCAACAACTATAAATATACGTATGGGAATGCTTATTTGTTTATTACAGATATGGGCATGTTTATCTTGCCATCACAAGAATACAATAAATTCTAACCTGTAATTCCATATTAGTTTGTTTATTAGATGTATCACAAAGTCAGTGAAACAGTATTGTTTACTGGATGACGTGTCGAACAAAATTTATTGTGGTTCACAATCATATCAGCAATTGTAATCACACGACTTCGAAACTTGAGTTCTATAGTTTTCTTTGTTTTCTCCTATTTGTCGTAGGGGTAGTAGACTTTTCAAGATATCAGGGACAGGTGACGAATCATTCCTATTACATGTATTTGCCGTTGATTCGATTAACAAAGCTTCTGTTGTCAATCTCTCCCTATACCCTATGACATTAGATTTTAAAACTGTGATCCTATCCCGTCCTATTGTATGGTTGTGTGTGAGTGCATGTAGTGATATAGTTGAACTATTCTCTACATTTCTTATCTTATTCGGGTCAACCCATCTAGATTTTGCTAAGTTTTTATGTTCGACTAGTCTGACTGCTCCTGTTCTACTAGTTTGACCTATATTTGACCTGACAATGATTACAGGGTATTAGATAAACTAAATTGTTTTGTTTTAATGGCTCTACAGGATCCTTTAACCGACAAAGCTTGTTTCTAATTCAGTTTGTGGGTTTGAATGCCGGCCACTTTTATTCCTGCCTTGTTAAGTATTCTGCGTAAGGCTTCCGAGGTTCCTTCCTTGTGTGGAAGTACTTCTGATGATTTAGATTCCTTATTGTCGGTGTTATCTTGCACATGTTTGACATGCATGTCGTCATTAATATCACTATTATCATTATTATTGTTATCACTATCACTACTATTATCATGTATATTATTTTTATATTTTCCTACATACTTCTGGGTAATTATTAAGTTTCAAAGCTTCTCTTATATGTATCACTTCCTGTCTCAGATTTTCCTTGATACTACTTAGTTTTTGTGCCCTATTACTTATTTTTATTTTTATTTTTGATTTACAGCTTGATTCCACACCGTATTTTTGGTACAAGTATGGAATTTTCAGCATGGATATCGGTAGCCCAAAATTCGCAGGCCGACCATAGATATCAGGTGTGCGTCGGCGAGGGCTCGAACCCCGGACCATGTGCATGGTCGGCGGGAGTCCTAACCACTGTGCCACCGACGCACTTAAACATTTCATCAATCCTATTTTTACTGACATAGGCTGGGATGATCGGAAGCCCAAAAATCTGTTTGAATATGTGGGTTTCCTGTAAGCACTAGTGTTTGACTTCCTTTCTACTTTCTTTTTTACGCTACAATCTAACACTTGGAGCTCACTTCTTGACTTTCCAATTCACAAGTGAATTGAATTGCCTCTACCTTCGAGTTGATGTGTTCGAAAAATCTACCTATATCTTGTGTTCTGAGTGCAGTGAATGTGTCATCCACATACCTCCACCATACCTCTCGAGTGGGGGTGAACCTTTGAATCGCTATGCTTTCCCGCCTATCCATGAATATATCTGCTACAACCGGGGATATTGGTGATCCCATGGCAACTCCGTCAGCTTATTTGTATATCTTCCCTTGGAATTTAAATACTGTGGAAGTGAGACATAGCTTCACTCCGAGCATCATGTCCTGGAGTGGCACTTTTGTTCTAAGTCCGAGTTCTTGGTTAGAAATAAGTTTCTGACTGCCTCTTTAGCAATATTTAATGGTAAACGTGTATATAGACTGACAGTTTATTGTTTTCAAGTTGCATCATTAATCAGACTGATGACAATCAGGTCAACGGTTTTTGTGTATTTAAAGATTTAGCTTTCAAGATTTCCATACTAACAGATGTTGGTTTGCAGAGGTTTCATTAGTTACGAGACTGATGAGAAGTTAACACCAGTTACAGAATCATTGGAAGATTAGGGAGTACTTATCTGATGTTTCCTATCAGTTCAGTCTCTTCAGCCACACGTACCTACCACTCCGGGACCTTCTGATTACAAGGTGAACTTGTAGACCATTAACTCCATCCACGAACAATTCACGAATAGTGCCAATATATTTATAGTGAACAGTGGTGACTGGTGGGGTACAACAGACGGGTTGTTAGCCCAAATACTCGCCACCCATGACATTGTCTAGTGGTCGCACTATATCGTGAAGTAGTAGACTTCGGTGTTCATCGATTGCAAATTGAATCGGATCGCTTTGGCTCAATTGTCTGCGAGCTCACTTTTTAACCTGAATGTCCTGAATTCGAACCCGAACCAATGCGATGACATAACAGTCCACTACTTTGTGCTGGTTTTCTAATGCTTCTCTAACCAATTTCATTTCATGATCAAATATTTGAGTAACCAAATCCCTGAAAATTAACACTTGAATATTTAACTTTTGTCTGTAATGTGAAATATTGTTGCCTATTTTTACTAGAAGTAGGATTGTGAGTTCTTGATTTTACAAGACAGGTATCAGTACTTATCATCACCTAGTAAAATCAAGTGTCAGTATTCTTTTACAGGGTAACGTTTTTTTAAAAAACTTCAGGCTTTCGTCAAAGAATTCAAGCTAATTTCTTTTACAGTAACTTTCTCGTCATCCATCCAACGTGGTGCTGTAAGAAATACGCCTGTATGGAGATTAATAAATTACATTTCGTCGACTGAGAGTTTGTTAATCTATGGTGGAATACATATTTGCAATTTCTTTCGGAAACCAAATTTTCTCAGATCACAAAAAACTTTGTGATCTGTCATATGAAAAAGAGAAGACGTTCGGCGAAGAGACTCTTGTCGGCGGCGAATTCATTCACATAGCTGTACAATCGCATTTATTAACAATTATTTGTGTGCGTACGTGAGGTTTGTCAAGTTTAGATCATTGATCAGGCAATACAAGAATTATCTAATATAGAAACAAAGTCAATCATACAGCAACTAAAGTAAAGTTGAGCTTTTAAGTTAGATGACGTAATATAATTGACTAAAATGCTTCAACTCAGGTTAGGATAGAAAGAGGTAAAAACAGGTAAAGACTAGATAGAGGTGGGGTAGATAATAAAGTCATTTAAATTAGTACTAAAATTGAGCAAATAAATTGGATCACATAATATAAATGACTAGAAATTGAGCGTTGTTCGAGTCAATAACAGTGGTAGTGAGGTGTAGAAATTAAATCGGGTGGGGGTAGAGAACAAGAAAGTTGAAAATGCAAAATATTACAATTGAGAAGACAAAATAATACTAATGAAGAGACAGAGGAGAAAGAAAAAGATTAGGTAGATTTTGCCTGTCGAGTAATAAGATAGATTACATCCATTGCAAGTGTAGTGATTGAATGAACTTCTTCTGTATGCAGAGTTCAAGATTTTGCGAGTGAATCGCCATTGCTTCTGCAGTTTGAAGAAGTCTGATTCGTACACTTCTAGGAAGACTACTTCTTACTCTATAGACGACTTTGAAGTTTATTTCAGGTGCAGCTTGTTGTTCAGATTCTATGAGATGTTCTAAAATGAAGCTGCAGGGGCATCGTTTTCCTCCCTTGTAAAACTATGCCGCAAAATGTTCGGCGATACGTTTGAAAAGCGAACTCGTGGTACGGTCGACATACCTGGCTCCACACAAGCAGGTGAATTGATAAATACACATTGATGAGGCTAGCAGTGGTGGCATATCCTTCCCGTTTACATGAATCATAGGTTTTGTGGAGAAGGTTAATCGTAGTTCAGCTGCAAAAAATTTCTTCTTAAGTGAGCACGACAATCGACTTTTTAGTGTTTCCGCGGATGCTAGCAAACCCATCCCATAGAATTAAAAAAAAACCCAATGCTACTGAAACTTCAAGCCTCTCACTTGAAGTCCTATATTCCACTGGTAACATCATGGAAAATAAACAACATATTACTGGTTGGTTGAGATGAACACTCACTCACATCAATCAGTAGTAGATCAAGTTGATCTGAACACTTAACGGTCGTTTCCCTCGTTTGCAGCTGGCGCTTGTCAGCGGTGTACTTCATATGAAGTAGCTGTTTTTCAGTGAGTGGGACTTATCTCTTATATTGATGTATTTAATAATATTAAATAGCAGTAATTCTCTAACTTCTTCTTCCTTAATTTTATAAATTATCAATTTTTTTTATATTCTTTCTTCTCTATTCTTCAGAACAATTCACCTCATCACCTGAATGATCATAGTGATCTCAACTCACAGCTGAATAAAATAGTTCAAGTAAGTTAGAAGAGATAAGATGCTCAAATCGTTTAGTATAATGTATCTTTCATTGTTCTGATGATGACTTTATTGACCCTTTTAGAGTTTATCCAACAAAACATTTTTAATCTTCTTAAGGAAAGACAGCACAAGAAATTATAATACAAATAATAATACTATTATTATCTTTTTTTATTCAACTTATTCTTTTTATAGATATGTCTAAAGTTTAAAAGTTCACATAACGAGTTTGATAACATCATAGAACTTCAAAGGCATATAACCCCACCCACCGTCCCTTCAGCTCAAAATGCTCTAAGAATATTTCTAACTGCATAGTAATCAATATAACTTAGTATTTATCTGAAGGAGAATGTTTCAGTATCAAGCTAGATAACTTTATCAATTTTTAATTTACACTGTCACTGTCAGTGTCTTACTTACTCATAGAAGAAGTACAAGACGAAGAGTAACAGCAGAGTAGTTTAGATTTTAATCGAGATGTCTTAATATTCTGTTGTAACATTCTATGAATGTAGCTGGCTAATATGATAGTGCTCAGCTGAATGAATGTTCTTCAAAAAGCCGTTTTTACGAGTTTGATCACGGAATTGATATCGGTTAGAAACCATTGATAACCATCAGGGAGGAGTATTGGACAGCTGTTTCATCCCACTAGTTTGGGAATCATCAGCAGTGCATATCCACCAACAGGGTTCGAACCCAGGACCTTCCGGTTAAAAGGGAAGCTCGTATAGCATTCAGCCACTGGGACCCAATTCAATGGCCAGTCCATGAATTTAGCGCTACCACCAACCAATGTCATTGGTGCGTAGTGCTGACGACTCCCAAACTAGGATGAAACAGTTGTTCAGTAAAATCTGGTTTTCAATGTTTCTCTAACTGATATCAATTCGTGGTCAAACTCATCTAATCCTTGCAAAACAAACTTTTGAAAATTAATCTGATGCTTGCTAGTGACTTGCTACAGGATGGAGTTTCCCTGAGTTCAGATGTTTACCCACCACCCACCCACCCCCGCCCTTTCCACACCCATGAAGTGAAGCAGGCTGTCTATACGACTAAAATTTATCAATGATAGAGTGAAATAACAAGCCATCTAAATTCTCTTTCTACTCACGAAAGGTTGTTATTAGTCATTCATGATAACTCATGCCAGTGTGAACTCTATGCAGTAAGCAGGGTGTTGTCTAGAAATTATTTTCCATAAAATGCTGACATTTCACAACTGGTAAAAATTCCTTTCTTATTCTGTTACAAAGAAGTTTTATTCTTCTTTCCGTATTGTACTGTCTAATTCCTATTCTCCTAATTAATGAAAAACAGCCTCATATGCATGGCTGAATTGTTTTCATTGGTGTGTTTAATTAAATCGAGGAGAATTTACTCCTTCAAAAAACACTTCATACTATATTACAGACAATTGATCAATCTTATATATATATATATATATATATATATATATATATATATATATATACAAAAGGCTAAATTACTATTCAGGCATATTTATTGGGAATAGATATTTGCTCTGACTACACTGCACACTTCCCTCATAATTTGCATACATACACTCACGACCGCACAGTTGATATACCAGTCTCTTAGCGTACAATATAATAAGCATGAAAATTCCCATGTCATGTAACTAAAAATCTCTGTACAGTCATCTAGGGTGGTTACATCTGTGGAACATCGGTGGAATTGGATACTCCACATACATGGATAAATATATATATATACATATATATATATGTACCACCAGAGTTGCACTGAGACATATAACACTGATATATAATAGTGGTAATAATAGTGTGGTGAGAGCAGTCTGCAAGCCAAAATTATAGGCAACAGTTTACGTCAATGTCCACGTCTCGAATCTGAATCTTGAGGAAAAACAAGAACAAAGCCTAACCTAGAGAAACTCATCAATTAGTCACAGTAAACTCAACGTGTGCAAATACGATTTGCAGGTATACGGCTTAACTTTCTAAGAAAAAACTACAAGTGGCACAGAATTACTTGAGAAGGAAAACACTCAATCAGAAGACGTTACTTCCCTGCTAACAATAAAGCTAATAATATTGTACATAAAAATCTATAATATCTGTTGATTTTTTCAATAAACGATCTGTTGTCTGGCCCATGTCTTCTGCCGTTACAATACCACGAATGGTATAAACACTAATATTAATGTTGAAAAGAGTTCAGATAATGGTAATGATAAAAATAGTTTTAAATGAGTCAGAAATAGTAACAGTAATAGCGTGTTTACCGAAGCAAATAGATAGATAGTGCAGAAAGACGATTGTCTGTTCGCTTGATGGAGCATTGTCCAGCGTAGTCAAAGTACCTAAAAGTTCGATAACAAAGCATCCTGTGGACTTTGGACATAATATTGACGCTTTCAAGTCATTCACTATTATCAGGAGGCTGATAAACAGTAAGATGCTTGCAGCTGCGGAAGCTTGAACAATTAGAATTTATAAACTAGGCATCTGTGTACAAAACGAGGCGGTATTCACTCTTAATCTACCATGGTAATATGTTTTGTTTATTAACTGATATTATTATTTTATTATACCCCTTATTATTACTATTTATGACTCATCATTAACATTATCTGAAATCTTTTGAACATTATTAATATTATTATCACCATCAATAGCATTACTTTTGTAACAACAGAAGACAAAGGCCAGGCAACAGATCGTTTATTGAGAAAATCAGCAGATATTTATAGATTTTCACGTACATTATTATTAGCGTTATTGCTAGCAGAAAGATAACGAATTCTGATTGGTTGTTTTCTTGATGAAACAATCCAGTTACTAAGTAAGGAGAACAAGGAAAGTGGTGGACTGATTATATCAAAAAAAGTCTTGAATCAACTACCATTAGTTCAGAAATACAAACAATAAATACAGAACTATCAGCAAACGTCGACTCTTTGACCAAAGCAAAGATTTTGAAGGCTATAAGAGTATTGAAGGGCGAGAAACTAGCAGGACTTAATGGAATTCTCACATAACCATTAAGAAATGACCCGAAAATCTACATGCTCACGCCTACGCCATCAATTCACAAGATGTGGAAGGAAAGAAATTCACAGATTAAAACTAAATTCAGTCAACAACTGATGATGAACTATGCTCCTGTCCATCCTAAACAAAACCCTAAATGACATCATCCTTGAAAGAATGAAAAGTTCACTGGATGGAAGACTTCTTTGTGAACAGGCTAGATTTTAAAGAAACAATTCAAGTGCGGATCTTATTCTGACACATTACATCGAACAGAGTCTTGGTTGGCAGTCATCTTTTTACCTCAAATTTATTGACTTTGAACAATGGCAACATATCGTTGAGAGTGGGAAGACGCGGATATATTGGACCGACAGAAAGAGCTAGACCAGGATCTCTCAGATGACTTGTTTCTCATTGAGCACTGAGAAAACAAATTTTTGTATCAAGGGCTTCGATATCCTTGAGTTCAGTTTTTCGAATTCAGGAAAAATTATCTATTCAATGATTATTTACTTTCACTGTTTTCGTAATCGATATAATGTCCTGGTGAGGAATTCTGGGAATCTTAAGTAGTCACTCCTCATATTAATTATCTAGTGTGCATTAAAGAATTCTGGTTATACAAATATTCTTTAGACTTAACAAAGCTAAAACCAGTTCATACTGAGTAAAATCGGCTTCATTCAGCTTAAATAAACAAAACCATTAGAACACGTTAAAATACTTATAACATTTCTCTGCACAACTTAAAAGCTCTGGAGTACTTTGAAGTAGAGACTGGTGTAGATTACGACCGGACTGATTTAGACGTAGGAAAAAGATATCATTGTTTTCATTTGTGTCCAATGAATCCCCCCCCTATAAAATGAAGTAAATGCCCCCATTTTATCATATTTTTAATACTTTTCAAAATGACACGAATCATTATTGGTCATCTGGACACAGCTAGCTTCTCTGGTCCAGCAGTAGAACGCTTTCCAACTACTCACATGGTTAGGCGTTTGACCCTCGGCCAACACACTCCTAGACCTCACGACGCCGGCATTAAGGCCGGTAATGTGACAAGATTTGGTGTGAGGCTAGCAATCCCACCCCGTTAAAGTAAAACAACTGCTGCTGAAAGTTCAATGCTCTTCCTTGAATCCATATGTTCTACTCGTAATGCACAGGAATAAATGAAATAAATGATAAAATAATGGTTACAACGAAGATTTTTTCCGTAAGACTAACTGTCGCTTGTACATATTACTAAATTTAGAAGTCAGTAGGTTTGAGCAAAGAAATATGTCCTCAGCTAGATCCTCAACTATGGATCTACTCTAACACATATAGCATTTTTAATACAAAAAAGGATTGCCAATCAAGTTAGGATCCAGATCAGTTTCTTTCTGTTGAATTTCGTGATCAACAAGAAATTCAGAGAGAGAGACCACTGAAAACTGCGAAACACTACGGAGCTTAAGATTCTCATTATTCAGTGGAAGTGATCATCCAGATAACTCTATTATGGATAAGATTTTGTTTTGGTGAATCACACAGTGTTGTACAGTAATATTACCTGATGACGATTCGAGCACAAACTATTGCTCATAATCATAATCACAGAACTTTATATGATTATGAGCAATAGTTTGTGCTCGAAACGTGGTCATCAGTTAGTGTTACTGTATTACAGTGTGTGATTTATCAAAATAAAATCTTATCCATAATGGAGTTATACTCTACCACAGTGCCCAAGTTTTATACTTATATCAATAATCATCCAGACAAGTTAGTTCATAAAAATTTAAATTCAGTGCCAAGACAAATCAGCTTCAATGAAGCTCTTGCTCATAAAATTGCAGCCTCCTGGTGAAAAAGCCAGTGAAATTGTAACACTCGGCGCCTAAGGAATCCAGTGGAAACGGCATTCAATGCAGCAGATCTAAAAACTGCTCCAGTTTTACTTTCGAGAAATAAGGATTAACTACCTAATTTCGCCTCCTCCGTATGTATCTACCAGTATGACTGCTCCTGTAGAGATAGTTGGTCAACGTATTTCCAAAAACCATCCCGCACACTTTGTTGATAATGAGAGTAAATCTGGTTATTAAGTACTTAAACACATAACAGTTCCAACAGTTGCTATGATCACAGGCAGTAGTTTTGCTCAAAAAATTACCAAAGAACGAAAACTTATTTTTTCTATTCCACAATGCTCAAACCGTATAATAATATTTAAAGTTTCATTATTTTATTTCGACTAATATTTACTTTGCTTTACGAGTTCGTCTTCTAAAGAGAGAGCTACAGTCATTGGAATCCACTTGAAGAAGGCAGACTTGTGCGTTCAAAATAAACTCGAACAAACACTCGCCCTACCGTGGCCATTATTACATCGATGTAAAGACTGAATATTATTCCCCCCCTGAATTTTTTCGCTAGTTATCATTCTCCTGATTATTTCATTATTCCGCCTACTACATCTTTAACTGCCTATTGTGTAATCAGTTTGAACACTCCTCACTTGTTGAATTGAATTCTTGATTTCCCCGTCGATTGATTGGACCGAAGTGCTCGGTCTCAGGTTGACATGTCGGCTTCTTGTGCAGATGATTCGACGATGTCTGGGGATTTGATTTGTATACAATTGGTGGCCCAAGTGGTCTAGTAGATAACGCTAGCAGTGGAATCCAGGATGCGCATTTCGTCCTAATTGGGACTCGTCAGCCAGTGGATGTACCTGCATTTCTCAGTGAGTGATGATGTTCCCACCGAGGCTCGAACCCAGTGCCCATAGTTTCAAGCGCCAAAGCGTTATCCACTAGACCACTTGAGCCACGAGAGCCACCTCTTGTGCAACGGGTCATATTAATTATTGAATTGAATTCTTGATTTTCCCATCCACCATCCACCAATTGTATACAAATCAAATCCCCAGACATCGTCGAAGCACCTGCACAAGAAGCCGACATGTCAACCTGGGACCGAGCACTTCGGTCCAATCGATCGACGGGAAAATCAAGAGTTCAATTCAATAATTAATATGACCCGTTGCACAAGAGGTGGCTCTCGTGGCTCAAGTGGTCTAGTGGATAACGCTTTGGCGCTTGAAACTATGGGCACTGGGTTCGAGCCTCGGTGGGAACATCATCACTCACTGAGAAATGCAGGTACATCCACTGGCTGACGAGTCCCAATTAGGACGAAATGCGCATCCTGGATTCCACTGCTAGCCACCATCCACCAATTGTATACTCCTCACTTGTTAATTACTTCCATTATTTCCCCAAAATTATGCATTCAGCAATCCACTTATTTCTATCTTCTGACTGTTACATCACTTTTTTGTTTAATTATCAACCCTTTGATATGTATATATACCACAGTAGAGTAATTGCGTCGGTTGCACAGCAGTGGATTGTTCGCCAACCACATGGATGGTCCGGCGTTCGATCCCCGGCCGACGCAATCCTTTCCCTCACCAAGCCAGTAATCAGACCGGTTAAGAGGTTCCGCATGAAGTAAGCAAACCCACCACGTAAAAATAAATAAATTTAATTTCCTGAAAAGTTCTTTAGATTGATTATATGTTGGTGTTCCTGAAAGCATAATGATTGGTCATAGGGGAATGTTATCCACAAAATTTCATCAAAAAGAGTTTTTTAAATAGAATCACAACACCAACAATGAACCATCATCAAAGACCACAAGAAAATTCATCCTGTCTACCGTACATGAGAAATATCTCTGAAATGACACCTAGAATATTGAAACCGTTTGATATAGATGTAGCACACAAGCCAGTCAAATCGCTAAAATTTGATATTATGCAAACCGAAAGATCCAACAGAAAAAGGGAATAAAATTAATTCAATTTACAAAATAAATTGTATGAACTGTAACAGGCATTATATCGGTCAGCAGAGTGAGCGTCCCCTTCGAATTAGAATCCAAGAACACAAATCAGCCGTGAAAAGACACGATATATATTCTTTAGTATCAATGCATATAGACAATTATAGACATAAATTTGATTGGAATAATGTTGACATCTTAGACAGAGGAAACACCAAAAGTGCCAGGGAATTCCTAGATGTCTGGTACTCAAACGAATATGCAATTAACAAACACATTAATATAGATCAAGTATACCAACAAATACAAAGTAAATCAGGTGACCAGAAAGTTTAAAATCCAAGTCAATAGAAAATGATGAATACACATGTTAAGATGGTTACCAGGAGACGTAATTATATCACTCATGAAGAAATTTAGATCATTTCACTTCATGCTAAATATGGCCCTGATGCTGTTGTCCGGTAGGATGACGAAAGCTCCGCAACTAGAACAACCAGCTCAGAGAACACTATTAATTGCAAATCATCCACCTGAGCTACAAATCTTCCCTATTATTTCAAATACCACCGCTACCGAAACTTCAAAGCTCTAGCTTGAAGCCCTTTATGTTCCACTGGGAAAGTAAGGGAAAAAAACAATGGCAAAGCCCTAGATGAAGATCTAACTGAAAAGTAAATATTTCCCCACCCAGTACTCTTCTCTTCTAAATGTCTAAGCATGGATTTTTTGTATATGCACAAATGTTGTTATTTCGTTATCATCTTACTAATTTTATCTGTGTCACTACTCACTTAACCCCTCTATAGAAATATGCACGACAACTATGTTTGGATCAGTCTTTGGAGACAAAATCGAATCTAATAAATCAGAAACCGTCTAAGAATATGTCCTATGAATCTGAAATGGAAAAAACTTTACAGGTAATTTTCTACATGATTTAATATGGATATAACTTTTCAGTAACTTGAATATTCCCATAATTTATGCGGAATAAAAATAGTTCGAGCGAACAATTGTACTCTCAATAAATTCTTCTTCCTTAGGCTCTGCAATTATAACCCTTTTAATTTAAGCAAACAATAGCCAGTAAAAGCAAATTAGAATCATATCAGAAAGTGTATTGTGGAACAAGTATAGGATGGAATGGAACAATACTCAGTAAGTTTTGAATGTGCATGGTCAGTGAGAACATGAGGTGAAATGAAATGAAATAGTATAGTCGACTAAAGTACAGGTTTCGAGAGTGAATATAATCAGTGGTGTGTGAGACAATATGAATACTTTGATAAATTTGAATAAGGCAATAAGAAGACAAATTTCGCGAGATGATATCGTCATTTCGTAGTTTCTTTACAACCGCTTTACAACTAACATGGTTAACAATGATAAAATAAAGTTCATGAAAATTACTCAGTTAAATAAAAACAAAAGTGCATACTAATGACCAACTTTATAGACAACTTAAAGCAATTGGGTCACATACTCCTCAGCTTTATGGCCTTCCGAAGATCCACAAGACTGGGAGCCCACTGAGACCCATCTTAGATATGTCAAATTCTCCTTATCACAAAATCGCCAAATGGATTACAGAGGTCCTTACGCCTGTAAGAGACTCATTATCAAATCATTCTATAAAAAGTTCATTTGATCTTACAGAAATGCTAGACACCTTGAACATTAATGAAAAGGTTATGTGTTCAATCGACATAGAATCTTTATTCACCAATGTACCCCTTCAAGAAACTGTTGATTTCATTTGCGACTACATCACAAGCAACGGGATAAACTTACCTATTCCTGTAACGTACATCAAGGACATCATCTTAATGTGTACAGAAAATATTAGATTCACATTCCAAGGAAAAGCATACAAACAAATCGACGGTGTTGCAATGGGTAGCCCTCTGGGGCCCCTGTTAGCAGATATATTTATGTCGAAATTAGAGAAACAAATGCAAGGTATGCTTGGAGAATTTATGCTGTACAAACGTTATGTAGATGATACTCTTATTATTAGTAATAATAGCAAATCTATTGAAAACTTTATCACCCTATTTAATCATATCCATCCAAATATTCAAGTGACCTCTGAACTAGAATCCAATAACAAACTCGGTTTCCTGGATATTACTATGACTAGGAGAAATGATGGAACGATTCAGCGCTCTATTTTTCGTAAACAAACATGGACTGGACAATATCTTCATTTTACCAGTTTTGTTCCTATCCAGTATAAACGTTCCCTGGTGAAATGTTTGTTCTTAAGGGCTCGAAAAATATGTACGAGTGACACACTGATGGATGAGCTTCGACATATACATTCAGTTTTACTAGCCAATGGTTATCCAGAAAACTTCATCAATTGTCACGGTAAGGATAGACCACATCTTGAAAAGACAGCCTCTGTACCAAAGAAAGCCATCTTTATTAATCTACCATTCAAGGGCGACCAGATTATGCAGCTGACAGCTCAAAGACTTCGGTCAGCCATCAAACGCACATTCTACGCCGCATCTCTTTTTCTCACATCCCGAACATTTTCGATCCCTGTACCTACGATTAAAGGACGAAATTCTGTGGACTCTACTTCCAACTGTATCCACAAGTTCACCTGCAGCTTCGGTGACACCTATATAGGTAGAACTAACAGAATGTTCCAATGTCGTCGAAAAGAAAATGTTCCAAAATGGCTAATTATTCATATCGAAAATCCTAACGCGATTAATTTTAGTAGAAATCCAGCATCATCCATTGCAAAACACTTATTAATGTCTGGTGTCAAAATCAATATTAATGACTGTTTCACAATTATTTCACATAACTCTAATTCAAGGTTATTGAAGGTGATGGAAGCACTTTGGATTAATCACATACAGCCTAAACTGTGTGTACAAAAATCAATAGACTTCAATCTTCGCCTACCCTGGACTGCATGACCTATCTTAATGTGATTGGTCATTAGTATGTACTTTTGTTTTTATATAACTGAGTAATTTTCATGAACTTTATTTTATCATTGTTAACCATGTTAGTTGTAAAGCGGTTGTAAAGAAACTACGAAATGACGATATCATCTCGCGAAATTTGTCTTCTTAATGCCTTATTCAAATATGAATACTACCGAAACTTAACCAACGAATTGGGGGAGGGGGAGTAGACATAAGTTCAAGGGTGAAGATAGGGACAATAATAATGATTGTGAAATAATAACCGTGATATGATGTAAACTTAAAAGTACTATTGGTGAATGATTGTCAAATAATAATAATGAATTTTCAAGCTTTACCAAGGAAATATGGTCCACTTGAAAGTACGATTAAGGGGCTTGACTATTATTGTCGATATGTAGATGATACCTTATTCATTTGTGGTAAGAATTTTAATGAACAAGGGCTTCTGAACGGTGTTCAAAGTGTCCATCCAGGTATTCAGTTTGCATGTGAGGAAGAAGAAAATAACAGTAAACCTTTTCTAGACATCCTCCTCACCATGAGGACAGACGGATGTCCACAAAGGAACCTATTTAGAGAGAAGACTTGGACGGGTCACTACACCCATTTTCATAGCTTTACATCTATTCAATACAAAAAAACTTAGTTAAATGTCTTCTCAATAGAATAAAAGGTATATGCTCAGAGGAATGGATTCAGGAAGAAGTGTGTAAACTGATACGTACTCTACAAAAAGTGTATATTTTAATACTCAGAGACCTGATGCTTCCCGAAAACCACTCCCAACAGACTGCTGCAGACATTCATTAATAAATGTATTCACTCCACGCCGAGGACGAGATGACTGACGGGAAATGATAAGCGACAAAGAAATTCAAAAGCGAACTAACCAAGAACTCACTGCCCAGATACACGCAGACGGAAAAGCAGATTGGTTGAAGATACACTAATCTGAGGAAACGTTCAAGTAACATCACACACTAGACCATTGAGAGAAAACCTCGTCTGTTTAGAAGAGAGTTGGACAACGGGGATTCAATGGAGGAGATTGTGTGAGAAGTGAATAAGTGTAAATGGGTATTTGTGGGGCTAGCTGAAAGGGACAGCAGAGAATCGAGAGGAATAGCTATTTGCTGATAAAGCACCCTGTTCTATTCGGTACCCAGGAGAATAATAACAGTCGAGCCCCAGTGAGTCGGTACTGATTGAGAGTGCTAGACTAAGACATAACTGCTCTCTATTACACCCTAGTTTTTCAATGGATCTCTAAGTGATGTCACCTCATGTTGAAACCTGCAACCAGTCGAATCCCTGCAAGCCAACACTTTAAATATACATGCTGCATTCGGCCTCTGTCAGACGAAACCACAACTGTTGTTCGTGTACTGAATCACTTGACAATATCGTTTAAAACTGGTGAAAAAATTATCTCGGAAGACTTTTTAGCGTCTGACACAAACGCTCATCTAAGGGTTTCATTTAAGCTTCCGCATATCATCCGACAAGAGAAACTTTGCCAAAAGGTGTTTAGTACAAATATTTTTTTCAGCTGGTGAATTGCATGCTTTTCATTCAAGCAAAATGCTGTAACTCACTGACTGACTGACAAGTAACAATCGAAATTTCGCAAAAAAATGCATCAGAATTTGAGGAAGCACATATCACAATTAAATAACAGATATATAGTCAAATTGTTTTCCTGAGATAGGGAATAACATCGTGAATAGTATTAGACACTGTACAGAGTCTGTATGTCGAGAAACAATGACCGCATCCACGCCATTTTGAACCCGTTTGAGTCATGCTAGCAAGGATCCTCAATTAACAACTCATGGGATCTTAACTACTTGAACCCAGTGCATTTCTGATTCGTAGACTATTCAAATAACTTAGATTTCCTACCTAACTCAGCATTACCTATCTTGTTATTATATTCAATATGTGCAGCTGAAAAATACACATATACTTCATAGCCAGTATTCTTCTCATATCTTCTAGCAATGACAGCTTAGAAGACGAAACGGACTGCTGAACACTACACACGACTATTGATGACTCCATAAAAATTCCTCTTCTTGGATGAGGATGCGAAACAGAGGATATCAGACGAGCTTCAGAGATGTCTGAGGAATAACCTGAAGTGATGTAGTAGATGGTAACTAGCATAGGAATCCAGAATGAGTATTTCGTCCTATTCAAGACTAGTCTGCTGGATATACATGCGCTCTCCAGGGAGAGATGGTGTTCTCACTGAGGTTTTAACCCAGCATCCACCACCAAGTGATGTAATGGATAACGTTTTGCGGTTGAAATAAGATATATCACACAGTGAAACGGTATTATTTACTGGATGACGTTTAGAACAAAATTTATTGTTCAGAAGCATATCAATTATAATCACACAACTCCGAAACTTCCCTCTTATAGTTTTCTCTGTTCTCTCTTATTTGTCAGGAAATAAGGCATTTAAGAGAAGCTTTGAAACTTAATAATTACTTGGATAAATTAGTCAGAAATTATGTAGAGAAATAGAAAAGTTAAATTAAGTAATGATAGTAGTGATAGTGATATTAATAATATTAATGACGACAGGTATGTCAAACATGTGCAAGACAACAACAATAAAGAATCTGAATCACCAGTAGTACCTTCAAATAAAGAAGGAACCTCAGAAACCACTTCACGGAGAATTTTTAACAATGCAGGCATAAAAGTGGCATTCAAACCCGCATTCAAACTCATAGGGTTTGTTGGTTAGAGGTTTAGTCCTGTGGAGTCAATCAAAGGAGACAATTTAGTATATCTAATACCCTACAGTGACTGCCAGGTCAAATACACAGGGCAAAGTAGTAGAACAGGGACAGTCAGTTAGTCAGACTAGCAGAGCACAAAAGCCTAGCTTAATCTAGATTGGTTGACCCTGATAAGATAGCAAGAAATCTGGAGAAGAGTTCGGCTATAGCACTCACTACATGCAATTTCACACAACCATACAATAGGATCGAATAAGATGACAGTACTAAAATCTAACGTATCAGGGTGGAGGGAGAGATTGATAACAGAAACTTTGTTTATCGAATCAACTGCAAACATGTGTAATAGGATTGATTCAACACCTGTCCAGCCGAACATTTGGAAAATTCTACTCCTCCTACGAAGAATAGGAGAGAACACAGAAAACTATAAAACTCAAATTTTGAACTCGTGTGATTATAACTGATATGATTATGAGGAGTAATGAATTTTGTTCGAAACTTTGTCATCCAGTAAATAATACTGTTTCACATTGTATGATATATCCAATAAACAAACTAATGTGGAATTGTGGTGAGAGCAGGCCGTGAGAAAATATGAGCAAGGCTGATTCAACAACCAATCACAGCAAAGTTAACGTGGCAAAATATGATTCGCAGATAGAGAACTCTATTTGTCGAGGAATCCCGAAACAACCAATCAGAAGCCTGCGTTTGTCTGCCTAACTTCTGATGAACAACCAATCAGATAACTGCGCTTGTCTACTTGCATAAGCTTTAATAATGTATGTGAAATATGTATAAATACGTGTTGATTTTCATAATAAAACGATCTGTTGCCTGGCCCTTGTCTTCTGTTGTTACAGAATTACTTACCATCACAGTGGTCAAGTTTTACACATATATTGACGTTTGAAACGTTGAATAACAGGTTCGAGCCTCAATAGGAACACCATCACTCACTGGAAAGTGCACGTACATCTAGCAGACGAGTCTTAAGTAGGACGAAACGCACATCCTGGTTTCTACTGCTAGTCACTGTCCACCAAAAAAAAACTTCGAGTTTCATTTTTATGCGTTCTGAGATGTGTCAGTCAACTGATGCAATTTGTGAGTAAAGTAAGTTCAGAATCATCCTAGAGATGGTCATCACTGCAATTATTAATACCTGTTCTGTAAGTAGTTTCCAAAGGCACAACAATATTTGAGAATAGATGCTCTGCCGCAACACTGGCGAAATGTAATCAAGTCGTTACAGTTTGGAAAAAACGGAGAACATTATTTAGCAAGGTTAATTACAAAAAAGGAAATGAGAAGAAAGTGTCAGCAGGCTTATTTCTCTCCCGTGAAATACATGTGACTGACCAAGTTTTTTAAAAGAAACATTCACTTTCCTTTGAATTTTTTAAGTTTACCTGGAAGAGTACTACTTACGCAGAGAAAAAAGGAGACTGGTTGGGTCTTTTTAAAAGAATACATTTTGAAATTTGAAACACTGAGTTGTTAGAATAATATGAAGAGAAGAAACTGTACACGTATTGGTATTTTCACCTAAAGTTTAGGCTTGTTTTATCTTGACGATCAGGAAAGTCTTAGCAGACGCAAGAACCCTGAAATTCTCTCTAATTAGCAAAAAGCAATCAGCGTTATGTCTCACACAAAACAAAAACCATTAACACAGGAAGGGGTAGGTTAAAAAGACTCCTGGTCAATAAACTTCTAAATGCTGATAAGTTTACTTGTCGGTAGGAAGCCTAGATAAGAGAGGAGGTGGCGTGCTTGCCTAGTAACTCCCATAAATGCCAAAGAAACCTCAATTCTTCCAGTCATATATCCCACTCGTAATGCAAAGGAATGAATAAAATAAAATAACGTCTCCATCATAGCATAGGATAGCTACATACAAACAGAAGATCAAGTTTACATTAGGATTAAGAAGACTAAGATCGGGAAAGCCAGACACGCTTTCATTACTCTCAAGTCTGTGTGGAGGTCAACAGCACTCAGCATCAAAAATAAGATCCGGATTTTCAACTCCAATGTGAAATCAGGGCTACTTATTGGATCAGAGACTTCGCGAGGCATATCGTAGGGCACTTCTAACAAAATAAAGAACTTCATCAACAACTATCTTTGCTCACTACTCAATAACAGATGGCCGGCCAGAAAAGATCAGAAACAGGGATCTCTGGCACTGAGCGAACCAACTCAGTAGGAACCGACTATTCATCAAATAAGCAGGAAAAAATAGAGGTATATTGAAGGCCATACTCTGGGAAAACAAACCATCGAGTAACATCACACGCCAAACCATCGCTGTGGTGGAACCCGAACGAGAAGTGGCAAGTTGGTCGTCAGTGCAAGGGTGACATGGAGTAGGTCATGTGAAGAGGAGATGAAAGCATGTGGGCAGATGTAGAGCCAGGTGAAAACTTTAGCAGAGAACTGAACCTAATGGAGAGGTGCAGCTGAAGCCTTATGTTCCTCTAGGAATTAAAGGAAATAATAATAATCCAAAGCTAACCTAAGCTTTAAAAAGCATTTATATCTACTTCAGTTGTAGGATGGATGAGTTGATCAGAATGTGTAATGGATTTTGCAGAACATCTATTATATAACAGACTATTTTAATACAGTTTTTAATGATTTTCGCACAGTCGACTGTAATATTGCTTGCTATCCTGTAAATTACAGTATTCATATTGTAGGTCATAAAAATATGTTGCACAATATATTAATTCCAAACCATTCACTATAGGTCTAATCAGATTAATGGTATATTCATGGTTTATACTTCGTAGCTACTTTTCTTAAGCCATTCGGCATCTACATTCATCATTGCATGTCATTTCTTATTTAAAGTGGCTTGAAAACTGCTTAAACACTATAGATTCCCCTAGACTACTATCAACCTCATTCAGCGTCTATGTGATAGTAACGAATGTCAAGTGAATCATAAAAGAAAGCTCAGTGAAGCGTTTGAAGTCAAGACAGGATTTAGACAAGGCTATCAGTCCACAATCGCCTATTATATTCCTGGTTTTGTTGGGGAGTGAAATGGCAGGAATACGCTAGGCTGACTAAAAGACTTTCGGAGATCTTGATTTCATGGTTGGCTTATGTCTAATGTTAAACGAACAAAAAGATGTACAAGTGGAAAACAATCAGTTGGGATAAGAAACGGCGAAGAAACAACTGAAAGAAAGGGAAGATGAAGATATTTAACTGACATTAACAAGCATGAGAATCAACATCAACAAATGGGATCTAAAGGTAGCATTACTTTCATTCTTCTTCCAGGGTTTTCACCACCAGTGTTAAATCACATCTCCTATATGATTCAGAGACCTGGCAATGTCATCAAGATTATTTTCAGCAAGCTGCAGACTATTATTAACAACTGCATTCGCCTAAAACCTAAGATCAGATAGCCAATGTGAAACGATTAGCAACATGGAACTTTGAGAAAAAACCATCCAGTGACCCGATACCCAAAAAATTTGACGAAGAAAATGCAGATGGTTCGGACACCCACTGAACAGACCGCTGAACGAAACAGCGTGCAAGACGGATCCTCGAATGGAACCTGAATGGAAGGCAGGGAGTTGGGCATCGGAAAGTGACATGGTGGATATTCTGCGGGGAGGAGATGGGAGCTTATAGACAACCAAGGGGGGCAAACAAAAACGACCAAGGAAAATGTGCCGTTGAAGCAACACAAGTTATTTTGCATTTAGAAAATCACTAGTTTGGATCCATATTCGATGGTCAATCCAAGCTGTCTTTCAAATACAATTGTAGACGTGAATGGTAATAACATTGAAAGCTACTGAACAATATAAAACCAATAGTGTACAGCTAATTCATAGCTCTATAATTCTTTTTTCACGGATTCATTATACTAAATATGAACTATAGCGTTATGTGAATAAATAATGAGAAAGTGTTTTTCTATTTCTCAATTTCTTTCTTTTTTTGCGTACAGAAGTTAAATGATGTTATCCAGTTAAGGCAACAATTACTTCAGGAACGTGCAACGCTAAAATATCAGTTAGATAAATTACTACAAAGATCTGTAGATAATGCAAATGATGATGTTGAAGACGTTGGTGGTGACGGTGATGAGGGTGGTGACGGTGGTCGATTCGCTAATGATGACGATGATGATGTCGACCGTGGCGACAGTAGTATGCTGCATGCAAAACAAGTGAGAGAGGCAATTTTTAATAAATGTTTTCAAGTGTTTTCAAGATGCTCACTGGCGACTGGCCCTATTCAGGTAGGTAGTTACCTGGGTTCCAGTGGGAAGTCGTGACCAGTAGGGTGCAGCTGGTCGGGTGTGAGGACAAATACTCGCCGCAGATGACATTGGCTAGCGGTCACGCTATGTCGTGAATTGGCAGAAGTTAGAATTCAAGGACCATTGGATCGGGTCCCAGTGGCTTAATGGTATACGAGCTCGCCTTGTAACCGGAAGGTCCTGGGTTCGAACCCTGGCGGTGTGTGCGTACTGCTGAAGAGTCCCAAACTAGGACGAAACAGCTGTCCAGTACTCCCAGGTTTTCCAATGGTTCTCTAACTAATGTCAGCTCATGATGAAATCCTGAAATAAATGTTTTGTCTAATGCATTTCTTATCACCACTATACTAAACACTGTACACGTGGAATGTATATATTCAAGGCGCTATTAATTGTGATATAGAATAAGACCAGGACAGTCAGATGAAGGTATTAAACGGAATGTTAGGTAATCGGTTACTTTCATTAAAGCTAGTTAACTCCTATAGTTGATGACTAGTGGTTGCTTCGTGTGTCAGTGGCACAGAGGTAGAATGCTCGCCAACCACGCCTCATGTAGTTCAGGGTTCGATCCCCGGACAGTGACGCACTCTTTCACGTCGCTAAGCCAGTAATAAGACTGGTAAAGTGGTAAATAATCACCACTGCTACCGAAAATTCAAGCCTCTATCTTGAAGTCCTATGCTCCACTGGGAACGTAAAGGAATTAAATAAATAAACGATACTTCCTTCGTCAAGACAATTACTTCATGGAAGTTGACAACTTACCGTTAGTCAAAAAAGAATTATAAATTTTTAGGCTTAAGAGTGGTGAAAATAATTACAAAATTCAACAGTCTATTAGAGAAGGAATTATCTTGGAATTCCAGTGAGAAATCATAACCAGTGGAATCCATCAGGTTCGGTGTGGGGAAAACGTCTCACCGATGATATTAGCTGGTGGTGTGGCTAAAAGTCGCGAAATGACAGAAGTTAGAATTCATGATCTGGTCAATGGATTCCATTCTAGTGGCGGAGCAGTCAACGAACTGTCCTCGCAATTTGAAGGTAATACATTCAATCTCACTGTGGGCTCATGGGTGCATACCGCCGAGGATTTGCAGCCCAGGTACTCCAACTGACATCAATTAGTGGTTAGGCTTGAAATCAGTTAAATTCTTACAAATTGACAAATAAAATTTTGTAAAATAATGATTACTAAGACGAACAGGTAAATGAATTATGGAAGCATAACAAGATATAAATATTCATTACAATAAAGGTTTTTTATTTCCCAATGAATGTAAAACAAAATGATATGGTTTTTACTGACGTTTCGCTATTTAATGCTAGTAGCTTTATCAAAGTATTATTAAACCGGAATTTTGACAGCGTTATTAGAAGACGGAGATTATCTGAAAAATGTGATGTATTAGCGCTATACATTTCGAACAAGCTGATTACACATTTACTTGTTAATTCAATATACATAGAAAGGTTAAATTAAACAAAGTGAGAGAAAAAGGAATTAAGAATAATTAACACAAACGTTCGGCAATCCAATCAAATAAGGATTACCAAAGTAGGTTAAGAGTAATAACAAACTGTTTTTGAATACACAGGGTGAGGCTTAAGTCTATGAATAGCTATAGCCTCAGCGTATTTCAGTAAACGCCCTTGACCGTTTTTATAGATGACCTTAAAGGCTGAGTTAACATCAATCTTATGGTTCATCTCGATTAGATGTTTAGCTATAGACGAATTTGGTAGTCTGACACCTCCATCTATTAGCTTGTCACAATTCATTGGTTATTTGTGTGGGATTTGACAGAATCACTCGTGCACTTTTGAGGTTTACAGTGAAGCATATTTTTAGCTTTTTCCACAATTACAAGCTGGGCTGCATAGTAGGTTCTACGGATGATTGAATTCAACCTTTGTCTCACAATCCTATTGTTTATTTCCCCGTTATATGGTAATTTGATAAAAACCTTTTTCTTAGGGACGGTATGGATTGTAGGTTTAGAGGCTAGTTGACTTCTACACCTGTTTAAAAATTTCAAAGGATATCCGTTTTCAACAAGAGTATCCATTAATATTTCGTTTTCTCTGTCCATAACATCAGCCGTGCAAATACGCTGAATCCTCTTGAATAGACACTTCACCAAGCCTCTCTTATACTGCAATGGACAGAAGCTGTGAAAATTAAGGTATTGCCCTGTCCAAGTGGGCTTTCTGTAGATAGACCGTCTTATTGAGCCATTATCTCTTCGACTCAGAAGTATGTCTAAAAATGCTAGCTGGTTGCGACTTTCTTCCTCACATGTAAGACTAATATGATTTTGTACAGAGTTAAGTCTGTCTAATAGGCGACTCGCATCTTCATGATCGTCACATATCAAAATGATATCATCTACATATCTCCTATAAAAGGGCAATTTTGAAATTAAATCAAGGAATAAGTTTTCAACATAAGACATGTACACGCCCGCTAACAAAGGTCCTAATGGACTCCCCATAGTAACGCCATCTGCTTGTCGAAAATGTTCGTCTTCAAACGTGAAATGGACGTTGTCAGTACATATAATAATAATAAATCTTTCAAATAAGTTAAAGGGAAAGGGAATGAAAAACAACTAGAAGATATATAGTCACAAAGAATATCAACAGTCTTAATCAATGGTACATTAGTAAACAAAGAATTAACATCAAATGAATACATTTTCCTATCTTTTATGTTCATATCTACAAGACAGTCAACAAGTTCAAATGTATCTTTCAAAGTAAACTTACATAATTCATTGCGTACTGGACTTAAAATATCAGCTAACCATTTTGCTAGTTTATGTGTAGGAGAGTTACACATTGAAAGAATTGGGCGTAATTGATTGTCGACCTTATGAATTTTAGGTAGTCCATGGAGGTTTGGAAAATCAGATCCCATGGGTTTCAAGGAGTTAAACTCCTGTTTATCGATAACGTTCATGCCGCGAAGTTTTACTAAATGAGAATTTAATTTTCCTTCCAATTTTCTGATACCATCCGAAGGAACATCGGCTATGAATTTGCTTTTCTCATTAAGGATGGCTAACATTTTTGTTTTATAATCATTTCTGTCCATTACAACTACACCAGATCCTTTGTCAGGTTTCAAAATAACTATATAACTATAAAAAAAATCTAATACGTAATTCCTTTAGGGCTTTAAAATGACTTGGTGTTAAAATACTTCTTTGTTTCCGACTTGAATTACAGAATTGGTGTGTTACATCTACAAATTTAACTTTCAACCAACTTTGGTCATCTGTCGAGGAAGGATTTAGAGAACTCAACTGATCATACAAATTTTCAAACTGAGAATCAATTGCTAAGTCCGAAATATTGTTTAATGGGATATAAAAGTTGAAACCAAGTGATAGCACACCCTTTTCATGTAATAAAAGTTCAACCGATGACAGATTTGTCACATACTTATCAGGATTTAATGGGAATTGCTTTAATTGAAGGTCAGAGGTACAAGATCCAAGCAGTCTCAATCTAGTATTCTCTTTCGTCTTATTAACGGCAGAGCTACAAAAATTAATGAACTTGATATGGCAAATTATTGAGATATCAGACAATATATTTATTATTATATTATTATTATTATTGTATCCTTTAGTTCCTAGAGGAACATAGGGCTTCAGCTGCGCACCTCCATTGACTTCGGTTTTCTGACAACTTTTTCACCCTGCTCCAGGTCTGTCCACATGCTTTCATCTCCTCCTCGCATGACCTCCTCCAAGTCACCCTTGGACGACCAACTCGCCGCCTCCCTTTCGGGTTCCACTCGAGGGCTTGTCTAGTGATGTCACTTGATGGTTTCCTCAGCGTATGGCCAATCCATCTCCATTTCTTTCTGCCTATTTGTTTCACAATCGGTTCCTGATTGGTTCGCTCCCAGAGATCCCTGTTGCTGATCTTTTCTGGCCATCTGATCTTGAGTATTGAGCGGAGACAGTTGTTAATGAAGGTTTGAAGTTTGTTTGAGATGCTCTTTATGACTCGCCAAGTCTCTGATCCGTATAGTAGCACTGACTTCACATTGGAGTTGAAAATCCGGATCTTATTTTTGATGCTGATTGCTGTTGACCTCCACACAGATTTGAGAGTAATGAAAGCTTGTCTTGCTTTTCCGATTCTGGCTTTGATGTCCTCGTCAGTTCCGCCTGTAGTTGAGACGATGCTTCCCAGGTAGGTGAAGGAGGTTGTTTCTTTCAGGTTCTTCCCATTTATGCTTATTGTTGTCTGTTGTTGTTGTTGCTGTTGATGTTGGCTAGGAATCTTCATCATCTCTGTTTTATCTATGTTCACGTGAAGTCCTATCTTTGATGCTTCTTCTGCCAACTTGTTACTTTTCACTTGCATATCTTCCAGTTTATGGGAAATCAGACATATATCATCGGCGAAATCCAGATCCTCCAAGTCTTTTGTGTCAGTCCATTTTATGCCTGTTCCCTCGTTGGTTGCCGTTGTCTGTCGCATTATCCAATCAATTGCAATCAGGAAGATCATTGGTGATAGTAGACAGCCTTGCCTCACTCCCGTCCTCACTTCGAAGGCTTCCGTAAGTTTCCCGTTGTGGATTACTTGGCATGCAGCATTGTCGTATAACTGTTGGATGAGGTGTATAATTGTCGATGGGACCCCGTAGTAGCGAAGTAGTTTCCAAATGACCTCTCGATCGACGCTGTCGAAGGCCTTTTCAAAGTCGATGAAGTTGAGATAGAGAGGTGACTGCCATTCCAAGCTTTGTTCAATGATGATCCGTAGAGTGGCGATTTGATCAATACATGATTTGTTTCTCCTGAATCCAGCCTGTTCCGGACGAAGTTTTTCATCTAGGGCTTGTTTGATTCTCTCCAGGATGATGCGACTTAGTATCTTGC